GACTTTGGTGCGTTTAACAACTCTCCAATTGTTGGGTGTGTCAGTTATTTAAACTTGTCTTTGACAACACACAATGAAATCATAAAAGTGCTTGCAGATGGTGCATCTTTGGGCATGGGTCTGACTCAGACAAAGTTTTGAGTTTTTCAGAATCTACCTGGAAGAAGCCAGTCTCAACTGATTCTCTTACCACCTCTCCTGGTTGGTGACTTGTCTCCATTTCACAGGACACATTTTGAGCCAGAAAACTTAAGGGACAAAAGTTGTGGAGCAAGGATTTGAAAGAACTCCAAAGGCCTAGCGATTTCTACGGTTGTGTGGAAGCTGTGTGGCAGCTCATTTTCTTATGTCCTACCACCTGGCTTAGTTCTGGACGCTTAAGAGAGAGTCACAACAGAATTGTCAACTGATGGAGTCCCCATTCCATTCCTTAGTGTAAAGATCTGACATGTCATAGTTCAAAAGGAAACAGATGCTATTAGCACAGCAATGAGTTCTCTTTTATTCCCTCTTTTCAACATAAAGCTGGTGATTAAACAAATATGTTATCTTTACCTTTAGTTGTCGCATGGATCACAAAGCCGCCTCCCACATAGATTGCCCAGTGCTTATGGACACCTTGACTGATTTTAAGCAGGTCTCCAGGCATTGGGTCATCTCTTGACTACAACAGAAAAGCAGAGAGAGTGTAGACAGATGGCAGGAAGCAGCAGAGGCCTGGCTGGAGGGCTGCAGGCTGCTCCCTGCCACACACACCTAGTAGTAACCCCGGGAGAGGAGCCTCTGGGACTGCTGGGGTCACCAGCTTTGCTGTCACTAAGAGAACCCCGTTCGAGTCAGGAGGGACAGGAAGCCTGGACAAAGACGGGCCGAAGCCTCTCCTCTCAGGGCCCTGGCACATTGGTCCCACCTCATTGCTGCACATGAGCCTGGCTTTCATCTGCTCTGACACGTCCACATCGGAGCCTGCCTGCAGCAGAGAGACTGCCTCCCAGGCTGCCGGTTCCTGAGGACAGCTCACACGCCCGCCCTTCACGGGCTCTTCCATGCCAACGACCCAATCCGAGCTCACTGCGCCCTGCCCACCGCCTCAATGGCCCAGGTCCAGGTCCAAGACAACTAGAGACAGCGCCTCCCCCAGAGCCTGCAGAAACTGTTCTCCTAAGCCTGCCCGCCCCCTCAGTCACTCCTCCCGCAGAAACCACAGGCAAGGCTCTTGCCCACGCTTCTCCCCACTTTCTCAGCCTCCTCCCCAACCCAGTGCTCCCTCCTGTGGCCCTGAGTGGCGGGCCATGCCCCCTCCTCTTGGGAACTGGGAGTCACAAGCTGTCTTCTCTGCAATCGCCTCCTGACCGGTTGTCTTTCCTGAACCTCAACTACTCTATTAATACGCAAGTGTTAAAGCAGGATGTCCACAGAGGTGCTGAGTAGCCTCCTCAGATTCTGTCCCAACCTCTGGGCCCTCATTCGTGTGAGACACAAACTGAAGGCTCCTCAGGAGGCTGCTGTTCTCCATGTTCAGGTACTTCCCAGGGATCGAGTGTCTCCCCCACAGGGCATCCAGTCCCCATGGAAAGAAGCCTGCTCTCTGTCCCTCTGCTCTTTCTGTCCCCTTCCTTCTGGCAGCACTCAGCTCAGCTTGCTCAATCATAGGGCTAGTCATCCTTCACTCTCCTCCCTCAGCCTTACGTCCACGTACCAAGTGCCTTCAATGCCATCTTCCTCCACCCCCTCCCTCTAATACAGATCCCATTCCACCCACTCCTTACCCACGGTGTTGTCCAGTGGGACCTTCAAGGGGAACGTCTGCCAATGCCTACCTGGACCTTCAGAATGCTGTCCACACCCTTTAGGCAGCTCATGGTCCAGCTCTGCACCCTCATCCCTCTTCACCCTCATCCTTCTCACCCTCATCCCTCTTCACCCCGTCACTCTCACTCTCATCCCTCTCACCCTCGTCCCTCTTCACCCCTGTCCCTCTTCACCTTCCTTTGTTCTGCTCTTCCTGAGTTACATGTGTTCCCCACCTCATGCTCTCTCTCTCCTGCTGCTTTGATGCCATGTTCTCTCTACCTCCTACACCCTTTGTGCCTCCCCGTGTGACACTCTCCTCCCAGCAGACAGTCTCTCCTCTGACACCTCCCTGCCTCAGGCTGGACCAGCTGCCCCTCCTCTCTGTGCCCAGATGGCTTTGATACAACTTTCCGTGCCTCTCTGCCAGCGCCTCTGGTTTGGGATCCCCTGGGGTTGGTAAGAGCCCGCCATGAGGACCGGCTGCCCAGCACCTCTTCCTTTAGGAAAAGGCCAGCTCTCTGGGTGGACACATTTGGTGAAGGGCCCTGAAGAAGGTCTCCCAGCTGGGCAGCCGCAGTTGAGACTGGACTGGCTGTCAGTGACTTACAGAGCACTGGGTGCCCACAGCCACTGTCCTGGGATTAAGATCTCTTGGAACTGCTTCTGGACTGAAAGGTGCTCTTCAGGGACAGATACACCTGCTTCCCTCCTCACCTCACGTTGGAGAAGTTGCCTGAACTCTGTGTGCCCCAGGGCTTATGGTCCTGACTTAGTGACTCTCACATGCTGGGCACTCTAGCATTGCTGTGAGAACTGATGCTCTAGCATTGCTGTGAGAATTAATACTATAGCATTGCTGTGAGAACCAATACTGTAGCATTACTGTGAGAATTAATGCTGTATATTAATATAACAAATACCACACAGGCTTCACTGAGGGTTCCCCCAAATCCCACCCATTCTCCCACTCTAAGAAGAACTCCAGAGAGTAAAGGGTCACCATGAGGGGCCTTACCAACTCCCGGCGGTACGAGCCATATCTCAGGTCAGCAACAAAATGCTTGCTGTTTTTAAGAAGAACTATGTAAGTTTTCTGGTCACCAATCATCCTCTTGGCGGAAGTGATGATCTCATCCACAGGCCGGGGCCTGTACTTATGGTCCAAGTGGTTGTTGACCTTGTAGGGAGAGCCGGAAGCCGCCGTCTGCAGAGGCTCTTTTTTGACCTCAGCCCGGCCATTCAGAAACATAGGCAAGTTGGAGAAGCCAGTACTGTGGGACTGCCCTGGAACCACAGAGAGAGCCACAGGCAGGTGAGACAGGAGCCAGGAGGAGGGGACAAAGGCACAAACCTACCAGTTGAGGGGGTTGGAATGGCAGCTTTCCCAGGAAGAATGCACAGAGTCACATATTCTGTTCTTTTCCTGAGCAAGGTGTCCTGAATTATTTTCTCATGTCGTAATGCCAGGGTAGTCAATGGCCGGGTCACAAGATAATGTCATAGTATTGTGTGAATGTGACCCATGCGCTTTTCCTGAGCATTTGGGTTGATGGAAAGCCGAGCCATGAGAAGCAATTCTGTTAGGAATATACTCGTCTACCTGTGCATCTTTATACCCGGCTGTGCTTAGAATCAGATCTATTTTCATATATTTTCTGGCTTAATTCTCGTTGTACCCTTCAAGGAAAATAACATCATCTCCATTTTGCAACCGATACAGGGCCCAGAGGGACATTAACAGGCCTGTGCTGTGAAAGCTCCTAGAACTACCGTGTGCCACTTTCTCTCCTGAGCTCGGAAGGCCAGGCTCCTTTCCTGCTCAGAGCTGAGTACTAGGGAGCCCTGCACATCGTGTCTCCTGTTCCATGGCCTGGCACAGGGAGAGGCCACAGAACAGCTCTCAGCTGATGGACTCCCAAGTCTGTTCTTTTTAAAAAATATGTCTTTATTGATTTCAGAGAGAGGGAGGGAGAGGGAGTTAGAAACATCAATGGTGAGAGAATCATCAATTGGCTGCTTCCTGCGTGCCCCCTATCTGGAATTGAGCCCGAACCTAGGCATGAGTCCTGACGGGGAATCGAACCATGACCTCCTGGTTCATAGGTCGATTGATGCTCAACCACTGACCACACTGGTGGGGTCCAATTCCATTCTCCTAGGGAGTCCTGGGTGCATTTTCTAAGGGGAAGAGTAACTTTGAGCACAATAATTTAGCACCCTACTCTCTGCTTCTAATCTCAAGGATGAAGGCTGCACTTGGAATCCATCCTGTTAACAAAACCTGCCCACACCTTGGAGGTCAGATATGAAAAGGACCACATGTCCTCACAGTCATGCTCTCTCCTACAAGGCCCCCAAGTGTCATCTGGGCAAAATGAGCTTGATTAACTTTTTCTACTAAACCCCTGTGTTCCTCCAACAAATGATGGACTTGTAGGAAACACATAAGATGCAAAAAGTTGCATTCCCACACGGATGACAAGCATTTCCCCTGACGAAGACAGAGCATCAAAGGTTACATCGCCATTGCTCTGCGGGGCACGAGCCAGTCTGCATCAAACGCAGCAGGCTCATTCCAGCCACCGTGGTGTTCTTCACGGACCACGCACCAGTGCCATTCATCCTTCTGCTAACGGCTTGTCATCGTCCTGCTTCCGCCATAGTGATGAGGTCTATGATCTATTCTCAGGTGCTTGCTATGCATTTTCATGAGAATTTTCCTTTTGGCTGGGCCCTTGGAAAGCTGCTTCTGCTAAGCAGCATCTATTACCGATACTAAGACACGGAGTTTGTGAAATCACACACTTTCGAAAACTACAACACAAAGGTCCCTTCGAATGGAAGACCTGGACCGTGAGCTTCCGATGAACGTGGCTGCATTAAATCACATCATCAGAGCCCCAGGTACGGAGGGAGCCAGTGCTGCCTGCGTAGAGATGCAAGGGAGGTCAGTGTATCCCTAACACAACTGCTTCTCAGGGCTCAGCTTTCAGGTGCGGAAGCAGCCCAGTGGCATGGTGGCACCAGGGAGCTTCCACTGCGCTACCAGGTCTGCTCAGACCCTGTGGGCACAGGGGCTGGGCATGGACTCCGCCCTGCATGAGCTCTGTGCAGGGAGAACGTGTCTCCCAACTCAGGCTCCAGTGCTGAGCTTTCATTTCAGCTGCTCTCGTTATCTTATTACAAACCCCTGGCACATCCAGCTGTCAACAGGCCTTACCTGGAGGAGCCAGATGGATCACATCATCCTCGCCCACATAGAGTGCCCAGGTACAGTAGAACTGGTGAGAGATCTCAATCATGTCTCCGGGCCTGGGCTCTTCCTCACGCTGCAGGAGGAAAACCAGAGATGGTAGATGGGCTGCTAGGCAACAGCAGAGATCCTGGCGGGAGGTGCAGCACAGCCTGGGGACCATAGGCTGCTGTTCATCACCTGTCACAGAGGAATCCCTTGTCTTTCCTCTTTCTGACGGTCCCCTCTGAGGGGGGACCGGGAGCTAGAACCCAGGAGAACGAACGTCTGGAATGGAGAAAGCAGCATGGTCTGGGGGACGTAGGATGTGTGTGTGGTGTGTACATACATAGTGCATGAAGGCGTGTATATGCAAACATACAGTGCGTGCAGGTGTGTATGTGCAGGTGGGATGCACATGTGTCCTGATTGTAATGACATGACAGGCTGCATGTAGAACCTCTTCCTGAAGCTGGGGCCGCAGGCCCATCCCCAACAATCTGGGGCAGGTAAGTCTGAATGTCTCGGTCCTTACACACTGCCCTCCTGTCTCCATCACACCTCTGGCCCCGGCTGTGCTTGCCTGCAACACAGGCCTCCTCCAGCCTGGAGACACCCACCCTTGGAGATTTCGACCCGACAGAAGGAAGTGACAGCAGCCTACCAGCCCCCAAGCCTTCCACGGGCCCAGTGTGGCTGCCCAGCATCCTGCACTGGTCAGGGTGGTGGCAGGTGGGGCTCACATACTCAGGCAGCAGGCTCTCCTGGCACACTGCCCACCATGACTGCCACCCTCCAAAGCCCAGAGGAAGAAGTAATGCCCAGCTGGGGAAACCGAGGATCAGAGAGGTAGAGGGACTTGCCCAGGGACACAGCTGGCAATGGCTGCGCTGGGTCTTCACTACCATCTCTCTTCCTGGTCCCGTTTCCACCCCCTCTCCCTGCTTTGCCCAACTCGTCCCTGCTCCTCATTGGAACTGCCCAGGGCACTGAGGCTTCCTGATTTGAGAATTTTCAGTTTATCTTCCTGTTTGTGCCTGACCTCAGCAAACCTCCTGCAGCGTTCACTCCAGGAGCCAAATCTGAGACCAGGGGCCGGCTTCCCTTTGTCTTCATTCCATGCCCATATCCTAAAATGGTCACTTAGCCTGGAAGCTTCTCTGGAATCTACTGCTTTGTTCATTTTCCCCCCATGACTTCATTCAGGGCCATCCTTTTCCAGATTATGTAACTCAACACTTTCCTGTCCAACCCCCAAACTTCTGTCCCACCCACTCCAGGGCTTGTATGAGCCTCCATGGTGGGGACACTTGGTCCTAATGGGAGTGAGTAGTGGAGGGGGCTTCGTGCCTCGGCTCCTGGAGTGGCCAGAGCTCTGTGGTCGGGGTTCTACCTTGGCTCCAGCTCTGCAGCGGGAGGTAGTGGCAGAGCTGAGGGGGACGATGGGAAACCATGGCCTCAGGGGTCACTGTTCTCTGTGTACTGTTCCCAGATGCAGCCTGGAAACTACTATGTCTACCCCCACCTCAGCCCTGAACTCCAGACTCACATGTCCAATTACTACTCCACAGCTCCAGATGGATATCTAATGCTCACCTCAACACCCCACATGAGCATCAAATCCTTAGTTTCCCTCCCACACCTGCTCCTCCTTCCCTCATTCTCTTCCATCCAGCTGCCCATCACCCAGTCACAGGGGCTGTGAGCCCTGGAGGTGCTGTGGTTCAGCAGAAAGAGCAGGGACCACTGGGGACTTAATCCTGCTTCTGCCTCTTAACGCGCTGTGTGTTGGTAGGAGGGAAAGAGGGAAGGGTAAGCATGTGCCCAGACCTTACATAACATGTTCTTGAGCTCCTACAAAGGCCACATATCTGAGTATCTCTTGCCTGGGGGCTCTCTGGGGCCTTAGGATACCTGTCTTGCTGCAGGGCTGGCCCAGACTATCCCTGACAGCACACAGGGCATCAGGAGCTGCTTTAGGGTGGGACTTAGAGGCGAAGGATCTTAAAGGGATAAAGGAGCCCAGAACCCCAGAGGTCCTCCAACATCCCATCCCTCTGCACATGGGGAAACTGAGGCCAGAGAGGAAGTGACCTGTTCAAAGACCCTGAGTGGATCAGGAACGGACCCGAGATTTCTTCTCAGACATCCTAACTCCCTGCCAGCAAGAGACAGGGAGCATAATTTCAAATCATTCCTGGTAAGGTTTTCTTCTGGCTGCACATTCCTGTCACCTCCATTCTAAGCAGATCGCCAGAAGGGAGAGAGAGCCCCATCAGAGGGCCTTACCTGCTGGCTGGGGAAGTTGCCATATCTCAGATCGGTGACAAAGTGCTCACAGTTCCTGCTCAGAACAGGGTATTCCATCTTCCTACCAACCAACCAGTTTCCAAATGCGATGATCTTCTTCATGGGCCATGGTGTGTACACGTGGTCCAAGTAGTTGTTGACCTTATAGGAGCAGCTTTCCACCACATCCTCGAGGAGCTCCCTTTTGACCACCCCTAAGCTGGTGGGGGAGCCAGCCTCCGAGTTCTTCTCTGGAATCAGACACAGGAGTTATCAGCACCTGCAGGCAGGCCAGGGAGCAAGGAGACACAGACAGGGAGGAAGGACCAGGGGATCACACTATTGACCTCTGGTGCCTGTCCCCTCACCAATGGGATTGGAGGATTCCATCATTTTGATCTTTCCCTTAACGAGCTGTGAATTCTTTTCATGTTAATCCATGTTGTGATGGTCAGTGGCTGCCACTGTGTTCCATTATATGAAGGGACACCGTCTAGTTGACCAAGTCCCTACTATTGGCTGGTCCAGAGCTTATCCATTGTAAACAATGGTAGTAAATTGTACTTGTTCATCTTTGCACTTGTGTGTTTCAGAAAGAGATCAAAGTTGTTCTGGACCTACTGTGTTTCAGACACTCTGCTGTGATAATCCTGTATTATAAAAGTACAGCAACCGAATGGCAGTCCAACCAGAACGACTGAACGACCATGGATCCTTGTCTGGCTGGCTCCTCCCGCCTGCCCACCCCCCAACCCCGCCGGCCCATCCATGCCTAAATCACTGCCTGGTTCCCTGGTGCATGTACATTTAGTGAAGGACAAGAAAATAAAAATCAGTCCCTTCTGTCCCTGACCAGAGTTACCAGAGGGCTCTGCTAATACTGCAATCAAATTGTGGAATTCTCTCTCCATGACCCACAGCCCCAGGAGACCCTCCAAATTAGCCAAAGGACAACCTAAGCATTATGGGGATGGCGGCCCTTTGCGGAGGAATGGAGAGAGGCTGGGTGGGGGTTTGTGACATTGCACTGCCTTGCAGATTAGGTGAGCTTTCAATCTCTTTAAAAGCAGCGGCCAACAGGACCCGCAGGTTGCTAGGAGCAACAGTGAAGGGTAGGCACATTCAAAATCAGAAAAACTTTAACATGAAGATCATCTTGGGAAACTGAGGGGAGAGTCCAAGGAAAAAGGCAAAAGTCATTCAAGGGCCATCATCCATCTTGATATACTTTGGCAAAGAACACATAAACTTCATCTCATGGCACATAACAGTTCTGTTGTGCGTTTTTTTGTGTCATCCTTAAAGTATAATTAGATGCAGCTGGGGGAAAGCTATACCCGCCAGCATTAGACCCCACGGTGGGCCCTGCCTTGAACGAATTCATGTACTAGACCTCTAATTACATATATTCCCTCTCTTATTCTCCTTTTGAATTTCATGGTAAAAGTCTCATCTCCATTTTACAACTGATAGTGGACCTGAGGCATCATCGGCCTTCTCTGGCCCAGCTCTGGCCACATGGAGAGGCCATATAACGCTTCCAGCTGGTGGCGTCTAGTCCATTGAGCCTGGAGCCGGGATTTGCTCTCTAACAGAAGGGAAGTGAGAAGCATGCTAACCAGCAGTCTCCTTTGTGTGTGAGTCCTTTGTGTGTGCTTCCTCAAGGGCAGTGCTAAGTGCTGATGCTGCACTTAGCACTGCCCTTGAGGAAGCACAACCTGCTCACTCCCACACAAGCAGGACCCGCTCCTCACACTTGCCTCCCTGTTCCAAGCCTCCTGAGTGTCGTCTGGATTAGGGGTTTCGCTTACTATTTGCCATCAATGTTGAAAGTTTTCAACTCTGTCAGTGTAGGTGACAGTGCATAGGAACCTGGTCAGTTACAGAGAGATTCTTGTGATTATGAGACAGTTTCTATCCAGTGAGAACGCAAACGCTTGCTGTCCGAGGTGTGGGTGTCATTGCTCTGCAGGGAACAGCCCCTGTGCCTTGCAGTCTGCGGTCTCATCCCAGCACCTTCCTGTCATGGACAGTACACTCATATGGGTCCTGCCTTCTCCTCTGACTGCCTGTCATCCTGCTTCTGCTCTCCCTGCGCTACATCAGGGTCCAGGTACTCATGTGCGGGTGTGTGAGACTCTGTGACATGTAACCTGGGAGAGCTGCTGCGTGGGGGGTGTTCAGGAAACCCTCTCAGGTTACCCTGTTCTGTGAGCACAGGACACAGCCTGAGAGGCAGTCCCTCCATGAGACCTGAACACACTGCTGGTTTAGAGAGATCTGTCTGCTCACCCAGCTAATGGCCTGAGCAGGAGAATGTCCAATGTGGGTGCAGCCTACCTTCTCTGGGCCCACAGACCTCTGTCTCTGCTGAGTCAGGACCCAAGGGACCACTGAGATGCCTCCAAGGAACATGGATGTACAGTGAGCACAAGCACTGCCCAGGGAGAACCAACACTGGTTCCCAGATGGCATTTGGCTTTGAATTGTTCTCATCATGGTAACAAATCTCTGGAAAGTTACACTTTCAACCCCCTTACCTGGGGGAACCAGGTGGATCACAAAACCATCGCCCATATAGAGGACCCAATGGGAGGAGCTGATGCGGGAAATCTCAATCAGGTCCCCAGGCTTGGGCTCTTCACCAAACTGCAAGAGAACAGCCAGGAAGGTGAGACAGAGTTCAGGGAGCTGCAGAGGCCCTGCTGGCAGAAGAGAAGGAACTCATATCCCCTCTGAAGTCCTCAGCCTGCTGTAGCTTCTAGATGATGTCCTGTTAGTAACAGGAAGCTTGAAATAATGAGCTGTACATTGGCAGAGAAGATTTGTCCAGAATGTGTGTATGATACATGTGTGTCTGTGTGTAATGTTGATGGATATGTTGTGTGTTGCTTGTACATAAACTCAGAGATGGATGTAGAGATACATATACAGGTGTATTGTGTGTGTGTCTGGAGGTGGTAACACAACAGCCTATATGTAAACCCCTTCCCTGAGGCTGGGGCCCAGGCCCATTCCCCGACAACATCGTCCAGGTGAATCTGAGCTACTCTGCTCTCACACACTGACCCTCATGTCTCCATCATGTGTTGCCCTGGATTTGCATGGCCCCAAGACCCACCACCTAACATTCTGCCCTACCCAGCCCTGGCACACGGGCCCTAAATATTCTGAACTGACAGACAGGAGGTGACAGCTTCCTAAGGGCCCCTGAGCATTGGAGAAGGCCCTATTGCTGTTGCCCAGCTTCCTGCCCTGGGGACAGGGCTCACAGTCACACAGCAGGCTCTGCCGGCACATTTCCCCCATAGCTGCCATCTCCCAGGCCCAGGGGAAGGAAGCAGCACCCATGTGCTCAGCTGGGGAAACTGAGGATCAGAGAGGTAGAGGGACTTGCCCAGGACCACTCAGCTAGCAGTGGCTGCTCTGGGTCTTCTCTGCCCCATCCCTTCCTGGTCCCCTTCCCTCCCTGCCTTGCTCATCTCTTCCTTTCTCCTCAGTGTCCCTGCCCAGGGCCCTGCAGCTTCCTGATTTGAGATTTTTCACTTTATCTTCTGTTTGTGTGTGACCTCAGCAAACCTGCAGTGCTCACCCCAGGAGCCCAATCTGAGACTAGGGGCCAGCTTCCGTTTGCTCCCATTCCATGTCCATATCCTACAATGGTCACTTAGCCTGGAAGCTTCTCTGGAATCCACTTCTTTGTTAATCTCTCCCTCATGACTTTATTCAGGGCCATCTTGTTCCAGATTATGTGACCCCATGTTTTCCTGACCAACCCCCAGACCTCTATCCCACCCACTCCAGGGCCTGTTTGAGCCTCCATTGTGGGTCATTTGGTCCTGATGGCAGTGGACATGTAGGGGGCTTCCTGCCTGGGCTGCTGGGGCCAGAACTCTGGGGGTGAAAGTGGGAATGGCTCTGTGGTCTGGGCTCTACCTGGGCTCCAGCTCTGCAGAGAGAAGTGGTGGCAGAGCTAAGGGGGACGATGGAAAACTATAGCCTCAGGGATCTCTGTACTCTATGTATTGTTCCCAAGTGAACTGGAAACTTCTATCTCCACCCCCACCTCAGCCTGAAACTCTAAACTCAGACGTCCACCTGCTACTCAACAGATCTACCTGGATGTCTAAGTGGTAACTCAAAAAACTGTACCTGGCATCAAATCCTTAATTTTCCTCCAAACCTGCTCCTCCTCCCCTCATTCTCCTCCGTCCAGGCTGCCCATCACCAGTCACAGGGGCTGTGAGCCCTGGAGGTGCTGTGGTTCAGCAGAAAGAGCAGTGACCACTGGGGACTTAATCCTGATTGTGTCTCTTAACTCGCTGTGTGTTGGTAAGAGGGGAAAGAGGGAGGGGTAAGCATGTGCCCAGACCTTACACAGCATGTTCTTGAGCTCCTACATAGGCCACAGACCTGAGCATCTCTTGCCTGAGTGCTCTCTGGGGCCTTAGGACACCTGTCATGGTGCAGGGCTGGCCTAGACTTTCCCTGACAGCACTCAGGGCATTGGGAGTTGCCTTTAGAGTGGGACTTAGATGTAAAGGATCCTAAATGGATAGAGCTGGCTGTAACCCCAAGGTCCTCCAACATCCCCTCCTTCTGCACATGGGGAAACTGAGACCAGAGAGGAAGTTACCCAAAGTCCCTGAGTGTATAAGGAACTGACCCGAGATTTTGACCTCACACATCCTAACTCCCAGCCAACAGAATGCAGGGAGCATAATTTTGCATCATTCAGGGTAATTTTTTCTTCTGGATCAAAGCCCTCTCTTTCCTATCCCCCAAGAATATGTCTAGGAGGGAGAAGGAGCCCCCCCCCCCCCCCCCCCAGGGAGGGCCTTACCTGCCGGCTGCGGGCCTTGCCATATCTCAGATTGGAGACGACTTGCTCACTCTTTCTCCTCAGATCATTGTCCTTCATCTTCGCACCAACCATCTCCTCCCCAGACTTGAGTATCTCCTTTATGGGCCGAGGTTTGTACAGGTGGTCCAAGTGGTTGTTCACCTTATAGGAGCAGTTTTCTACCACTATCAGGAGGAGCTCCCTTTTCACCACCCATGAAACCGTGGGGGAGCCAGCCTCAGACTTCTCCCCTGGAATCAGACACATGAGTATCAGCAACTGCAGGGAGGCCGGGGAGGGAGAAGACACAAGACAGGGA